AACAAATTTAAAATTTAAAAAATTCTGTAAGTAAAATGTTTAAAATGAAGGACTTAGGTCTAGCTAAAAATTACTTAGGTATATCTATATATCAAAATCATACACATAATATAATAAAAATAAATCGAAAAAAGTATTTAGAATGTTTATTAAATAAATACAAAATGTCAGATTGTAATGCAATCAATACACCAATAGAGCAAAATTTTAATTTTAATTTACTAAAAAGAAATACTTCTGAAAGTGACGAAATAGAAAAAATGTGTAGAATGTTAACTGGTAGTTTGTTATATGCCTGTAATTCAAGGCCAGATTTATGTATCTCAGTTAGTATATTCAGTCGTTATCAGAACTGCAAGTAAACTATTGTATGAATGTTTAAATAGAATACTAAGATATAAAAGGCTCTCTTGAAATTTACATTAATATATAAGTGTAATTTATATTACAGGGATACTGTGATGCCGATTGGGCAGGTGACACTGTAGACTGGAAATCAACTTCTGGATATATTTTTCTTGCATTTAGCTGTCCGGTGTCATTGTGTACCAAAAAGCAACTAATTGTCTCACTCTCTTCATGTGAAGCAGAGTATATTGCATTAACATTATCTATAACAGAAAGTTGCTGGCTAAAAAATTTAATGATTGATTTGATTATAATATTAGTACATTAATTATATTTGAGGATAATAAAAGTGTAATAAAAATAGCACAAAATAATGATGGTAACAAAAAACCCAAACACATATATATTAAATATCAGTTTATTGTACAAAAGGTAAATGAGAATATTGTAAATCTTCAGTACATAAGTTCTAATAACAACATTGCAGATTTGTTCACTAAACTATTAAGTAAAGCCGCTTTGTACAAGTTAACGAATACGATATTCATTTGTTAAAGTTACCTAAATGTAATGTTAAGGGTGTTATTTAATAGAGAATGTTTACTATTATAATAGTTTGATTGAATAACTGTTGAGGGGCTGTATTAAATATGGCAATATAGATCTGGCAACCCAATATAAATATGGCAAAATAGATCTGGCAACCCTTTTTCTTTGTTCCGGTGCCATCTATGCTGTAATGTAAACCTGAAAGCAAAAGTAATTATTAATAAAATATAATAATTAATATACACCAAGACTTTCATTGCACTGTCTTTATCTTCAACTCTATCACCTGCTATGTTGCCTGATGGTATTAAAATACCATGTAATGATTTACAATCTTTATAAGATTTAGAAAATTGGATTTCAAATGATGATAATTATGTACTGTTGGCAAGTATTCATATGTTTTTTTTTATTATTTACAACAAAGTTTGACTAAGTATTGACTTCTCCCTACATTGATAATAATACTGTCAAAAACTATTATGCCAACATTTTTTAATACCTGACTTTATATGAAAAAGAATCATGTCAATACAACTTAATAGTTTCCAAGAAATCTGTGGATAAACACACGCGAAATTAAGCACATACAATGATATTATCCTATTCCAACAATATAAAGATTTCTCTAAAGGATCTTCATATAGTATAGATAATAAAAGGTAATTAAATTAACAACATTTTTAATAACTGATTATTTGTGTTGATTGTAAAATTACAATTCATTATTGCTATACATTAATATTAACATAATTGTTCAGAAGTAGGTACTTGTACGAATAGTATGTGATATGCAACAACTCATCTGTTGGAAATTATCACAGATGCTGTACGTCATCATAAGATTGCAGAGATAGCAACTGATGCTGCAATTCAGAATTTAATAAATGGTTGGTTCAGATTTACTAAAGATCGCGATGGAGGAAGAGAAAAGGGAAGAACCACAAGAGCTCCGTCAGAAACCTAATCTACAACAAAAAGCGATAAGAGGATTTTCTAAAAGGAAAAGAAAACGGAAGGAATATTGCAGCATTGGTAACAGAAATTAAAACTGAATTAAACAGCACTTTTAATGTGTCACATATTTCTAGGCTTGCCCAATCATGTCCACCTGAATCTAATGGCGTTCTATCGCAATCTAATACTCTTCCAATAGTCTTATTTATATTGTTTCAAGAAACAATGAAACAAAAAGTAATATTATCGCATTTCTGGTCTAAAAAGCACAATATTACACACTCTGCCCTCAATGATTTATTAAAAGAATTACGATTATATCATAAATAATTACCAGCTGATGCTAGAACCCTTTTACCAACCCGAAAAAGTCTTAATGTTGTCCAGTATTCTGGAGGCGCCTATGTACATTGTACACTTTGGTCTTTAGTTATAGTTGATAGTACAAGCATGAGTAATTGCAAAAGTTTATCCAGTAATGAAAAGAAAAAATCCACAGACTATTATTATTAATGTTTCATTAATATCTGTACCACTACATTTTGATGATTTACCTGTGCATTCCAGCACCTCAAATTCATTTTGGCCCATATTATGCATTTTAGACCAGGCTTTCAACAAAGAACCATTTATTGTTGGTTTATCTTATGGTGAATCTAAACCAAGTGATGCTAACAGCTAACTGAGACCTTTCGTTGATGAATGTCTCCATTTAGAACGAAATGGTATTTTTATAAATGAAAAACACTGACTTCCGAATAAGTTGTATTGTAGCTGATGCACCGGCAAGATCTTTTTTAAAATGTGAACAGGAAGGTACCTACTTAGGTAGAACTGTTTGACATTACACATTGTATGTTAACTTCAGACAGAATACTCAGGTTTGTAATTTGACTTATTATGATTAAAACAGCTATTTTTAATTTAAACATATTTATAGAGTGTAGAAAAATATTGGCAGAATTTTAACCGATGTAGGTTACAATTTTGCCAATATTTTTTGTTAAGCCGTTATATTAAGAATAACTTCATTAATTATTTATTTATAACACATTTTAATATTTGTGATTTATATAATGATTGTTCAATTATAATAAACATTCTTGTTATACAACGTCATTTTGTCACTAGGGTAAAGCTATTATTAATAATATTTGATTATTTTCTGTGATACTAATAATAATTGGTTTAATCTTCCATCCATATATTCTAGAATAAATATTATATAAAATAAAAATAATGAATGTGTTTTATGCAATAATTATTTAATTATAATAAAGATCCATTTTATTCAGCATTAGTTTATCATTAGAGTAACGCTATTGTTAAATTGTAATACTAATACTAATCGTTTCTATCTTCCATGCATATATTTTAGAATAAAGATAATATAAAAGGTATAAATAATAAATGTGATTTATTAATAATATATGATTATAATAAACATCCATTTTATTCAACATTAGCTTATCACTGGGCTAAAGCTATTGATAAATTGTAATCATATTTAAGTATTTTCTGTGATACAAATTTATGAGAGATTGTTTTCATCTTTCATCTTGTAATTTTGCAATCAAGATTTTTACGTTAAGAATTACAATACCTCTAATGTAATTAATAATTATACTGATAATTGAATATATTATTTATTACTTTATTGTTATGAAAAAGGCCGATTAAATCGTTTTACGAAAAGTAATGTATTCCCTTCATTTTCATTTAATAATTATATTCAGTTAATAATAATAATAATTATTATTATTTACTCAATAATTATAAAAGTAATAAAACTCGCCATCAGAGCAGCGTATACAAAAAATGAATTTTCGAGAATTTGCATTATTTAACAATACACGAAAAATCATAACTTAGCAACGGCCGGTCTAGTCCAGGGCTATGACACTGTAGTTTCAAAATGTTCCGTTTTGGCGCTGCAATCAACTGCGGTACGCCGCCATCTTGTGACGTTTGCCATTCAGTGTCATTGTGACGATAAAGCCTGCAATACATGTTGGCCGAGCGTCGGCAAGCGACCGCCAATACCAACGTATAGACAGTATATTTACAATGTCTTGCCATCGCTCGGTGTCGCTAGCCTAGTTGGCTGAGTGAAGTCAAGCGTCAACGTGTATAGAACTCATTTGGCGTAGCTTGTCAGAACTCGCGGTCGCTCGCGTCCATTTGCCTCACTTCGGAGCGCTGTCGGTTTTTATGCACAAATCAAAGGCGCTCGCGCACACTCGGCCGATAGTGTCTACATGTTTGTCAGCGCGCCATTATGCGGTTGACTCCGTCTTGTGTACATGTACAAAATGTCACTCGCAACAAACAAATCAAATCAAATCAATCAAATCAAATTCTTTATTGGCCTTGTAACAGAGAATGTTTCACTAGGTAAGTCATTAATATACATTCATTGTCATTTAAGAATATGATATAAACTGTTATAATGTCATGATTATTAATAAATATAAAATAAATTATTTCAAATATAAGTATGTGTAGAATTTCAATAATAATATTAAAAATAAACATGATTAAAATAAATTGGCATTAAATTATTAATTCAATCGGATATTATTTCTAACGTTACTATCATTTAAAATCTACCAAAATGAGGATTCAGTCAATGGCATATTAATAAATTCTGTAAGTGTATAAAAGGCATTTTTTTCAAAGAACGATAAAGTATTCAAATTTTTGGAGATTTACCAGAATGAAGAGGTGATCTGGAATCCTAAAAACAAAGATCACAAAGATAAGAAAAAGGTAAGTAGGTAGGTACACAAGTACCAACACACTTTTTAGGTTAAGTTGCTAATTTGTAGTTTACCTATTTTATTCAGTTTCAGTGAATAAAATAGTATAATGGCCACGATGCCGCGTAATTTTTACGATTTTATGACAAAAAATGGGGGATGTTGTATAATTTTGACTCTAATGTCTGCTGGTCAGTGTCTGTCTTTGACATCGAGGCGCTCGAATGGTTTTTTTATCTTTAAAGAGTGCCCTTGCTTGCTTTATAAAAATCGGTAGGTATTAGAAAATAAATTTGTTTTTCAAATTTAGGTGCACGATGCTTGGGTAAGGATCTCTGATGAAATGGATATTCCTATTCCTGAGCTTAAAAAAAAAAGGAAGCTTTAATGGCCACATTTAGGCAACATTTGAAGAAGAAGAAGAATTCAGTAACTTCTGGTTGTGGTGAAGAAGATATATACAAACCCATTTGGGTATTTTATAATACCATGGAGTCATTTCTGGGAGATGTGTACGAGTGCTCCAGTAAATTAAATACCATAGTACGTATTACAATAAATAAAAATACCTGAATATTACTAATAAAACATTTATTCATATACCTACATAACAATAAAACAACTTAGATTAAGACAAAGTACTTACGCAATACATAATTTAATAATACTACGTAGGCACGCTAGCCATAAATTACATTTTTTATATATTTTTTTTTACATTGTAGGGTTTCCGTTTTTGTTTGTCTAAAAAAAGTACCTATAGGTATCTATTCCTGTTTTGTAACAAGTAATTAGTAAAATTTGATCTCACTTCTATTGCATTTCTTGGAGTTCTGCGGGGTACAACTTGTAAGGGAAATAATCCAGAATGATCCCTTTGTCTCCAAGAGCCAGGTTGGAGTAACTCTCCATTTTCATATACATCCAGGGCTCCTCCTGGAGTATAGATATTGCAAGATGTTCTGCTAATTCTCAGAAAATTATGCAGTAGAACGCATGTCATTGTTATAATAGAAGCTTTTTCGACTTCTAGAGCTATTGGCTTTTTGAATACTCTAAATACGCTCGCCATAATACCAACCGTGTTTTCAACAACGACGCGAGAGCCAGATAGTATTTGGTTAAAAATTCTTTCAGGGGTGCCTCTCTCGTGATTTCCAGGATATGGTTTTAAAATATTTGTATGAAGAGCAAATGCACCATCACCCAATATAACATATGGAAATTCTATGTCTGTGTCTGGTAGTGGGCAAGGTGGAGGGAAATTAATACTTTTATCAATAATTTTTTTCCATAATAAAGTGTTTTAAAACAGACACCACCATCACTAATTCGGCCTTGAGCACCAACATCAGCAAATAAAAAAAAGTAATTACTGTCAACTAAACCTAATAAAACAATACTAAAGTCTCCTTTGTAATTGTAATATTTTGAACCAGATTTAAAGGGGCTTTGTATTTTAATATGTTTCCCATCTAGTGCCCCTACGCAATGCGGAAATCTGAATCCTCTTGCCACAGCAAGCCACTCCTCTGGAGACATGGGAATCTGAAAAACAAAAATATAAATATATTAAACTAAATTGAACGTATTTATTCCTTATACTTTTACATGCTTAAATATTAACAGTTAATTTAAATATACATTTAAACATAGAAATAATTTGAAAAAAAATAAAGGATTTTGTTTTAGTTAGGCTTGGAAGAAGGTAAGTATGCTTAATAAACGTTTTATTGGTAGATAAAACTTTGCTATTTTTTTTCAGATACAAGCAAATGCGAGTAGTTCAACAGATGAGCAGTATGATGCTATTCAGGCCGTAAGTGAACAAGGACAGCGTTCAAGCAGTTCAAATGTAACTATGCACGAAGATTCTATACCTCCCTCGAATAGAACTACATTGAAGCGTCGTTCGTCTAACCCGCCTGAGCTTCAAAAAGCAACCAACCAAATGCAGGATGCATTAATAACTATCAATACCGTATTGGCCAACAAATCTGCTCAAAAGGAAGATATGTGTGATATTTATGGAAAACTAATAGCTTCCAAATTGAAGAAATATTTCTCAGATATCGAGCAGCAGGAAGTGATGTTTGAATTAGATGAGTTGCTGACAAAGAGAATTAGAAATAGCCTCAAACAACGTCCTACTTCATCCTTAAGTGCAATGAACTCTACTGATTCTTTTGATAGTACATCACCGGCTGAAATTCACCGTCCTTCTTCCTCTCAAACATTCTATGTTCTTCCAGATTCACCTGTACAAATACCACAACGGCCATTTTCGTCCCAAAGCTATTCAATATTACATGTGCCAGAGCAAAATAACATGTTTAATCAAAGCATGACATTGTGCTCACCACAACACGAACAGCTACAACAACCAACTGACGAACAAAATAACCAAGTCCAAATTTTATCTGATGAAGTCGTTGATTCAGTAAGACTTAAACCAATCTTACAAGAAGCATTTTTTAAAGCAATGATTAGTGAGCAAGGGTCATAATATTCCATAAATTGATTTTAAGTACATACCTACCTATCATAAGTTTTTAAAAATAATAATGTCTTTATAATAAAAAAATTATATATAATATATGAAGTTTAATTTACCTTAACAGTATCTTTCAAAACAGCAATGAGGGCTTGACAAACTTCAGGAATTATTTGAGATATTAATTGACTAGATATTTTAAAAGAGTAATGTAAACTTCTGTAACTGTCTCCAGTTGCTAGATATCTCAATGTCACGGCAAGCCGAATCTTAGCTGGTATGCTCTCTCTGAAGTCGGTATCTAATTTGCTGATGGCTGGAGAGATTTTCTGGAGTAAATATTCAAAATCGCTATCCGACATTCTAACGAAATTTTGAAATAATTTTTATAGTATTTCAACATCATTACATGGTATGAAATAAAGTCGGTTTTTTTTGTCTGTAGCCTTTGTTAAAAATGTGTAAAATAGAGGTGAAAAATGAATATATTAAATTCAATATTTATAAACTTTTTCAGTGACTAATGCTCTAAGTGATCATAATTATTCTAAGAAGAAAGTTGATAAGGATGATGAGGTTGCAAAGTGTTCAATCAATATAGGAAGGGCAGGTATGCATACTATATTCCAATTATCCTATAAAAGTAGAGCCATTGATTATGGAAAGACAGAATTGTATGAAAAATAGCATAGTTTATTTTAAATACAAACAATAACTTGTTAAGTCAAAATGTTGTAATAAAAGTAAGGCAGTGACTCAGCAAATACAAATAATTGTCAATGGGTGTTTTATAACTATATAAACAAGGCTATAAAATAATCTATAAAATGATCAATATAAAATAGGAGACTTAAAGTTAAGAATATTTATAAATTAGTTTGACTTGAACTACTTATATTTAATAAAATATTTACTTTTGGGTTGCATATCAATTGGCTGTTATGGTGTCCTGTACTTATAATTAAATTAAGATTCCATTTTTATATACATTTTTGCAAATAAAATATTCTTCTTATTGATGGGAAAATAGAGTGATATTATTGGGAAGTTGTTTTTGAGCCTAAAATAGCAATATTTATTATAGAAACATATCTTATACTTTCATTTTAATATATTTTTGAGAAATTGTCTATAACCCTTCTTACATTTGCTAAAATGTCAGTTAATTGATTATTCTATTATTGTGAATTATAGTGTTAATTAATTGTTGCAGTTCAATACACCTTAAGTGATCATGATTACTACAGTGATGGATTATGAAGATAATGAGGATTGAAATTCTTTATTGGTCAGTGGATGGGCAGGTATGTTTTCTTTTATCCTATTTATAAACTTTTAATATTATGTTGTGAAACTTTTTAAAAACTTGTATTTTTATTTTCCAGAAGAGAATTTTTATGAATTTCCTTCATGCTCAAATTCACAACTGCCGTCTTTAATCTTGGAAAGAGAAAGTGGTAAGTGATTATATTTTTGTTATTGTATATTGAATTGCTTCTTATTTTAGTTATTGTTCTTCTTTCACAAATATGCAATTCCCTATTTATTCTGAATACATGTAAGCTAGCAACGAAATTTGACAATCTAAAATGCTTTCGGTGGTTTTGTATTTTTACGATTTTTTTTTTATTTCCAGAATTTCATTCTAAACACTCAGTAGAGGTTGAAACCATCCAAGAAGATAAAAATTGTTTTCCACAAAGACACACCCATAAAGGTACATTTATACTTTTGATAGTATGTAGTTTAAATAAAAGAGCATTGCAATTGTATAGATTTATTCTATTTCTTTTCACTTCTGTTTTTAAATATTGTCAATTTGTGATAATAGTTAAAATTAAATGAAACTTTTTCATTTCATTTCTTCAGGTTCAGCGAGGAAAAGGCTATCCTCCCAGAAAAATAAATTTAGAAAAGATGTTTCTAAAGTTGCATCAAATAACATCGGGCAGACAGCAAAGGAAAGACTTGAACAAGCTGCACAATTTGCAAATAATCGGCACTTATTTCAAAACTTCAACTGCTTAACAAAACAGGCACAAACATTTCTGTTAATGCAGTTGAAGCAAAGTGGAAAAAACAAAATGGCTAGAAGATTCACTCTAGATGAGAAATTAATAGCTTTAATATTAATGAAGCAGAGCCCTAAGTCGTATAAATTATTAGAAAATATGTTTTCTTTGCCAAGCAAACGAACATTAAATCGCCTGTCAGAAAAGATCATTATAAGACCAGGCCTGAATATTAAAATTTTTGATTATGTGCGAAACTGATGAAATCCATGGATTTGTTGATGTAGCTGGAGAACGAAAACTAAGATTTAGTGACCATGCTCTCGTATTTATGGTCAGAGGAGTATGTTCTTCTTGGCGACAAACAATAGCATTTCACTTTTGTGAGGGAACTGTTTCCTCAGCAGCACTTCAAAATATTTTGAAAGAAATTATAACACAAGTAGCAAAGACTGGGCTTATACCTTTGGGTTTGGTATGTGACCAAGGGTCAACATTTAGGACTGCAATAAAAAAATTAAGAAAAGACACAATACAGATGCGAAAAGTTCACAATAATGCAGATGGTGAGACATTAATAGTTTAAATTATATTTTTAAACATATTTCACTCATATTTTTAAACCTTTTTGTAATTAAATACAAAATTTTACTCTGTTGTTGCACTAAATATTAACTAAAATTAGAACAATATATAATAAACTTTAATTTGATATAATTATGCCCATTGTGTTTAAAATAAAATAATGTTGATTTTAATTTATTTTCAGATGTCCATCCACCTCACCTTTTAAATCCCTTTAACGCAACAATTTCTTAAATAAAAATATAATTTGGGACCAAAGAACTTCATCATGGAAAGATATCCAATTTATATATGATTTGGACATTAAATTAGGGCATACCAGGACCTTATCGAAATTAACAGCTCACCATGTCAACCCTGATAAGATAAAAAAAATGAAGGTCAGCGTGGCGGCTCAAGTTTTCAGTTTTCGAACAGCTGCTATGTTAAAATATACCCATCAAATGAGTAAGTTTATATAAATTGTTTCAAATACTAGAATACATATTTCAAACAAATAATAATATATGTATTTTGTATTTTACTTTTGACTGACTGACTATTATATACAAACCAATGCTGAAACTTATTTCAAGATCCTTAAAACCAGTTCTGATTACATTTCCACTCTTTCTTCTAATGTATTATTTCATGCCGTGTGTTTGCGTTACGGGTATTCTACACGCCGCGGTGTTATACGCGTGCAGGTGAACGTGCGCCTTTATGTCGTTTTCTGGACACATTCAACAGTCTTCTAGATAATATTTTTTTTTTTCAATGTTTCAACCTAATTTTAGATGCTTTGTTTTATATCGATTTTAATCAAAGGCAAACTACGAAAAGCTGTAAAACTTAACTCACCTCACAAGCAATTTTGGACAGAAGCCATAAGGAAAATAAAACATTTAAAAAATGAAGACATAAGCAGTAAATTAGCCCTGCAATCTGGAAAACCTCGATTTGTGCGAGTACCATCACTTGATGGTTGGATAATAACGCTAGAAAGTTTTATTAGGATAACTAAATTATTATTTAGTTATCCTAATAAAACTTTCTAGCGTTGGAATTATTATTGTGGAATTATTATTATTATTTGGAATTATTATTATAAGTGGGAATTATTATTGGAAAAATATGGAGTATGCTACTCCATATTTTTCCAATAATAATTCCCACGCAACATAAACCAAGACCCACTAGAGAATTTTTTCGGACGTGTGAGGGCTCTAAATTATCGTAATATAAATCCAGATGCAAATACATTTATATATACATTCAAATCATTATTATTGTCGAATATATTAAGCCCTCACTCAAAATTTGCAAACTGTGAAGTGGATAGTGGAGACACATTGATTGATGGAAATTTTCTGTTTCAAGACTGTCATCAGGAAAATATAAAAAATATTAACATTAATTGTGCCCCAACACCATCCACTTCACAGGACAACAAATATAAAGAAATAACAAAAGATGAAGTGGTTTTAGAAAAAATTAAAGTCCAGTGCTCGGCATATACTGCTGGCTTTATATGTAGAAAAATGTCCAAATGTATAAATTGTAAAAGCTGCTTGAACTTACACAAGCAGTTCTACAAAGGAAAATATTCATGCCTATATTCAACATAGAGAATACAAAATGTTAAAAATAGTAATTTAGTTTACCCTAATTCAAAAATGCTGATCATATACAGGGATGCAAGTAATTATATACACAATTATTTAAATAGCAATGGATATAAAAAAAACTTAAAAAAAAGTCTAATAATATTATTGAACGACAAATTGAAGTTTTCCTGGTTGGGGTGTAATAATAACCACACAAATTTGTTAAAGAATAATTTCCTGAACAATATTATAAGGCTTCATGTCCATAATTGGTGTAATATTTTGAATAAAATATTAAAAGGTGATGTTGAAGAAAAATATGTAAATAAAATGGGAAATATTCACAAAATTGCATATGATAAATACAAAAGTTATCGATTAAGAAAAAAGAAATTAAATAAATAATTTAAATAAGCATTTTTTATTCCATTTAGCTTCTAAGAAATAAACCCAGCAATATATTAGATTTTCGATTAAACTAGTATATCCCTAATATATCGATAGTTTATTAACCGACTAGTAAGCACTAGTCTCGAATGTCAAACTTGACAATGCTACACTAGCGCCAGAACGGATCAATTTGAAACTAGGATGAAAATTTACTGTCGCATCTGTACTACTAATCCTTAATCTGTGGTCTAGTCCGCGCTGGCAACGTGCAGCAATATGCGACAGACAATAAAAATGTAATGTGCGCAAACGAGACAGACGTTCCATTAATGAAGCGGGTGAGATTTTTACGTTAACTTAAGCGCAAGCGATATTGGCCTTATGGGTGAAAGAGCGGACCTGTCCGCCATTGTACATGTGATATGTGATACAATAGAGA